CAGTGTAGGCAGACGGTCAGGGGAGACAAGAGGAACTTACACGCTCGGTTGACAGCATTGCGTAACTTGTGCACTCGCCACATTTTTGTTTGTTTGGTTTTTTGAGACAATCTCCACTCCTGTTGCCCTGGCCGGACTGCAGTGGCAGCATCCTAGCTCACTGTAGCCTCTGACTCCCGGGCTCAAGCAATCCCCATGCCTCAGCCTCCCCAGTAGCTGAGACCACAGGCGTGCACTACCGAGGCTGGCTAATTTTTCTATTTTTTGTAGAAACGGGGTCTTGCTATATTGCCCAGGCTGGTCTGAACGCCCTGGCCTCAATTGATCCTCTCACTTCGGCCTCCCAAAGTGCTAGGAATACAGGCGTGAGTAACCACACCCAGCCTTGCCTCGTTTTAAAGACTGACAGCACCCTATTTTCACAACGTCCATCCCGTCTGTCCTTCCTGACAGCCCCAGGCCGTGGGCCCGGCTACTCTCCGGCCCATGTCACAGGTGGAGGAACTTAGCTCAAAGAAGGGGACTCAGGTCTATGTAGAGTCAGGTCCAGAGTCTAGCTTCTGTACAAACGGCCTGGTCTTGGGCCCATTCCCTCAGCAGCCTGGGTTTTCGTATCTTCGGAACGGTTGACTCATGACATGTTGCGTGCCCACGGCCCCAGCTTCTGTGCTGCCTGGCTGGCTGCTGCTGATCGCGTAAGACCCCATCCATCCTCCAAGAGCCATTTTTAGAGAGCTACGCAGATGCCTTCTCTGTCACAGTAGGCTACGTGCCTGTCCCCTCTGCTCCCCAAAACTCAGTGTGTATCTTTATCATTGTGACTTACGACTTTTTGCAGTAGCATTTTGACATTTACGTACCAGTCTCCCCAGCTGGTCTCTGAGCTCCTTCTATTTTTTTTTTTTTCTTTTTTTTATTACATGGTGAGCCTTTGGGAAATCTGAGCTCCTTCTAGACCGAGTCCCCACATAGTAAAAGCTTCACACGTGTTTGTTACCGGATGCACGAATGGACAGATGGATGGAAGGGCAAAAAAGGGAAGGAACTGGCAACAGAGAACTTGCGGACAGTGAGGATCCAGCCTGGTGCCTCGAGAGTCCCAGAGGCCACAAAACAGCGTGGAGGGCGGGATGAGACAGTGGCAGCAGCCTTTTATAAACAGCTTGCTTTAGCCGGGCACAGCGGCTCACGCCTGTAGTCCCAGCTACTCAGGAGGCTGAGGCAGGAGGATCGCTTCAGCACCGGAGTTTGAGTCTAGCCTGGGCAACATAGCAAGATCCCGTCTCTAACAATAAACAATAAAGGGCGAGTTGAGAGCCTGGTGAGGAAGAATGCATTAGGCGGGGAGAAGGGACATTGTTGGTTACAAATGAGGAAACTGAGATTCACGTGGCCTTGAATGGCAGCCCCAGACCACATGGGCGGCAAGGGCAGAGGTCAGATTTAAGGCCTGCTCTGTCTGATCTCAAACCCACCTGACCACAGGCAGGGTGGCTGCTCCTCCCTTTGACACACTGCGGTCAGGGTGGGAAAAATCCAAGAATTGGGAAGAGGCAATTGGGCATGAAGTTAGGAAACTCAAGGTTGGGGAGGGATGGAGTTTTCTTTTGGCACGATGACATCCGAGGTGTGCATGGTAGCAGGGTTGGAAAGCCGAATGAGAGTTTTCCGTCCTTATCCCTGTTTTGAGCCTTTCCCCTCTCAGTGGCATTGACCCAGAAAATACAGAATTCCCTCTGCGTTGACTGACCGACTGGAGCGCGCGGGACAGGCCTGGGATCCAGGGACCTGAGATTCCAGACGCGGCCACAGGGTGGAGACACGTGCTTCGATCTGTGCTTTGGTCGGAGGAGGAACCAGGTCTGCAAGCCGCCGCTGGTGTTTGCCCACACAGTGAACTTTCTGGAGTGTAGGTTTTAAAACAAACAAACAAAAACACATGGTCTCGAGGTCACTTTCTAAGCGTTGGGTAAGTCAGCCCTGAAGGACTGGGGTTAACTAAAGAGTGTCTTCCACCTCCTTGGCCTCGTTGTGCATGCATTAGTGTTTAACCTAATATTATTTAATCCTGCAAATATTTATCACGTTGGCGCTGTGTGCCGAGCAAGGTGCTGTATTCTGAAGGGGAACCGGGACTGTAAGGCGGAGACAAGGCACAGCTTGGGGGGCCTTCACCAGGTACCGCAGGAAAACACACCAGGAGGGCACCTGGGTGCACCTGGCTCATGCAAATAAAGCCAATGCCAGCAGTCTGCATTCGGAAGGTTCCGGGAAAAAAATATGTAGAAAAAAACCAGAATTACAAAAATGTGGCATTATGTTTTTTAAAATAGAGAAGTCTGGATGGAGGGTATATGAGAGCTCTTTGTACTGTTGCCACAATTCTTCCTTAAGTTTGAAATTGTTTCAAAGTGAAAGTTCTTTTTTTTAAGTGCCAAGATCCAGGAGTCCTGGATTCAAGATTCAGATTTTCCATTACCCAACTGAGTGGCATGTGTTATTTCAGGGAGCCTCTCTGGCCTGGGGCTCTTCTTCTGCAAAATAAAGAAGGCAATCTGTTTTCACTGCTGTAAAGCATTTCATGGTATGAATAAACCTCTCAGCTCATTCCTTCCCCTTAAGAAAAAAAAAAAAAAAGAATCAAGTGACATTGATTTTAGTAATATATTTTATTTACCCCAATATATCCAAAATATTATCAATTCAACAGGTACAATTGTGCTAAATTATCAATGAGATATTTTACATTCTTTCATGTGCACAAAACTGTAGACTCACAGCCCATCTCAGTTTGGACTGGCCCACGTTGAGGGCTGGCTGCCGGCAGGTGGCGAGTGGCTGCCGCCCTGTGCAGGTCCCTGTTGGGGTTCCCTTGGCAACCCCACCAGCTCTGTCTCCTTCCCCTCTCCTGTTGGGCCGCCCTTTTCTGGGCTGAGGCTGGAAAGCTTTCTCTCGCTCCTCTCCTCGCTATTTCCTCAAATCTATGGTCTGTGCTCATTTGCACATTCCTTCCTCTTGAAGGTTTTGAAACTCCCAGATCCACATTTATCTGTGTTCTCTGCTTTCTGCTGCCTCGTGCCTTCCCTGGTTCAACGGCAGCAGGCCCCGTGGGCGGCAGAGATGAGAAGGAACCACCAGAAACCACCAGAGCTGCAGAAATGCACCGCTTGGCATCTCAAAACTATTTTCCCGCTGCAAAGGGTTTTTTTTCTTTAACTTTACTTCGAGCGTGTGAGTGTGAGTGTGAGTGTGTGTGTGTGTGTGTGTGTGTGTGTGTGTGTGAGACAAAGAGAGAGAGAGAGAGAGAGAGAGAGAGACGGAGAAAGAGTTGGGGTTGGGGCAGGGCAGTGACCAGCCTCCTCATAGAGGAAGGATTTGTCCCCAAGCCCCATGTCCCAGCAGCGGTGACAGTGACGGCTCAGGGCTAACAGGTTCTGATGACGTGGCATCGTCAGCGTCAATGGCTTCAGCGTAAGAACGACCATCAGAGGCCGGTCTGGGGGCGATGGTCTGTTTGGAGCACCGGGGAGTGGAGGGTGACAGGGAGGCAGCTGTGATCCCTCTGGGGGCAGCGGTCGGTGGTATTTTATGACTGAGTGTATTCTTGTGGTACTTTGTTGCAGCATTTTGCTGTCATTTCATGCTCACCACAAACTATAAAGACTTACAGGGTTATTCCCTCATTTTATAGGTAAGATTGTTAGGGACAGAAAAACAAGAAGGAGGAAACAGTTAAAGAAAAACAATAAGAAGGAAATAGTTACAGAAAAATACCCAGGGAAGCGGTTATTTCAGCCTTAAAGAATGGGGTAATTAAGACCAGGGAACTGTGACCACCAATCAGAAAACAGGGAAACACGATCAACGGTGACTTTCCCCGTCACACGTACAGGAGAAAGGACTGTCTGGAACCTAACCTCTAAGTTACGTCCAGACCTGGAAAAGTCCAGACCCCAAAACCCGTGGCGCACAGTCCTAAGTAGTTACCACTGACCTTCCCATCAGCATATACTACTAGCTTATTTAAGAGGAAAAACGCAGAAGAAGACATGTCTTCTCCACTCACCGAGACAGACCCATTTCCCTTAGGAAATGTACTTTCCCTTTTTGCACCCTTAGACTTTCCTTACAATAAATTCTTCGCGCATCCTTGCTGAGTGTCTGTCATCTTCCTCCATCGTGTGGGCCAGGGCCGGCGATTCCTCCAAGCCAGGAGCCCAAGAACTGGGGAAACACTTCCAAGTCCAGCCAGGGACAGGATCGTGACAAGGTCACTGAGGTTCAGGCAACCTGTGACTTGCCCAGTTTCGTTTTGTTCATAAGAGGCAGGAGGGAGCTCAGACTCCAAGGCACCCCTGCAAGAAACCAGAGAAATGGCTCCCCCCCCCACCTTGCCAAGAAACAAGGGGTGCAGATGGGGTTGGGCCCGTCCATCCTGGAACTCCCAGCCTTACCTACCACTGTGCCTGGCACAGGGCCTTCTGCGTTTGAGAATTGAAAGAAAGTAAGAAAATGATTGGGAGACACTGTACGTGTTCTCACGACCTTTTCCCATCTTTGCGTGTGATTAGGTGTGTATGCAGACATCCAGGTTGTTTTTTTATCAATATAGGGAGCTGGTTTCCCACCCACTAAGCAATCTGTGCTCTCTCTGGTGGCCTGTGGGGTCACCTTCATCATCATCCTTTAAGTTCCCGTATGTGAACTAACTGAAACACGGTTCACATATGGTCTGAACTACATTGGTCAGCCGCACAGGGGCCGAAGTAAATGACAGGCAGTGGTCTGTCCTTGCTCTTGTTTTTCCGTTGGCCTCTCTGTCCAATCCTGTGCCGACAATACCACATCATTTTTATTACTAGGACTTTCTGATACGTCGACATCTAGTGGGACAATTCCCTTTTTTAAAACTCTTTTTGAAAGGTTGAATTAGCCATCTATAGACCTTCATTTCACTGTACAAATTTTAAAAATAAGTTTATTGAATTCCTCAAAAAATATCCAGAGATGTTAGGTTTATTTGTCTCGTGCAAGGTGAACTTGGAGTAGGTGGTCCTGGGCTGGCTCAGAGTTCAGCAGGGCCCTCAGGAACTTTCTATCTTCCCACTGTACCCGCCTTGCCATGTTGGCCTTTCACTTCAAGCTCAGGGCACAGAAGAAACAGGACCTTTGCCTTGTTGTTTTAATCGACCCCTGATGGCCCCTGTCTGGCTTAAGCTTGGAATGTTTTCTTTACCTGGGCTCCGATGGAATTCTAGCCGGGCACCTTCCGTGAGTGGAGGACAAGCAGCCCCTAGAGGCAGCAGGTCCGAGTCTACCCCCCTACAAGCCTGACAGTCCGGGGGCGGGGTGTGGAGGGGGACTGTGTCACATGCCTCCCTGTGCTCCGGGGCCCAGCCTGCTGCCTGGCACAGAGCTGGTCCTCCGTGAATGCTGTGGAATGAATGAATGATGCCCAGGGCACCAGGCTTCAACCTTGAGAGAGGAGCCAGCCCAGGCCAGGAGGTGGCTCTTCCTCCTCCCCTCTCTAGCCTCTGTTACAGCCCGGGGCCACAGCGGAATCGGCGCCTGCGCTGCTTAGGGGCCCAACTCTCTGCTAGTTTTGGGCACAGCTTGCCCGCTCGCTCCTGACGAGAACGGAGTGACATCTATCTGCCTGTGGAGCGTTTAGGTGAACAGAGAGGACGGCGCCCACCGCTCCTGCAGGAGGAAGGACCTGTAGGTAGGCCCCACCGGCCCGCTCCGGCCGAGGCCTGATGCAGAGCTGAAGGCCGCCCGGAGCAGGGTGAGCTGCCCCCGCAGGCCCTCCTGCCCCTGCCACGCACAGTGGGGCCGCGCCATGGACATGTGCATGCGCGTGCACGTGTGTATTTCCTCTTATGCATCTCAGAACATTAGTAACGAAAGGGAAAACGTATCCGGAATGACTCCCGTGCACACACAGATAACTAGAAATCTAAAGATGACACAACAGGAGCAGTGTCTCTCCATCCTTTGGCGGCCACTGACCCTTTGAAGAATCTTCTAGAAGTGCTGGGCCCACATCCTGGAGGAAACTGCCCGCAAAGGCGCAGTTTGCTTATGACTGCAGCGGTCTAAAGCCCTTAAGTGAAAAGCATCCTTTGCTTTCAACTGATATTTACAAAACCCCAGCAAGTCACAAACCATAAGCGTTTAAAAGACAATGACTGAGACCTCAGAAGCTCGAGAGGTGACAAGTGTGGTTTTAAAGCCATCGGCCACGGTTGCGGGCTCAAAGCAGCCCGGGTAACTGTTTGCACCAAATTTAAAATCTTCCAGCAAGAAAACTCTCCGTCGTGGAGAGAAGTGTCTGTGCCCAGCCCTCTCCCCCTCAGTGAGGACACCTCGCAACGTGTCCCCAACATGCTGCACCCTCAAAGTGCTCTGTGCTCATCTGGGGTCACAGCCGGGAGCTTTCCTTAGTGTAAGATCGTGGACACAGAGCAGGCACTGTTTAAACAGCTTTGTTCTTCTCCCTCAATGGGATCTTTGAAACTGTATTGATACCTCTTATATTAAAAAACAACCCTAGCGAATGGTCCAAAGGAGCTTGCCACCAGTTCCAGAGCCACACACAGTCCCTCATCTCTCCAGGCCTCAGTTTCCCTGTCTGTGAAATGGGGAGGGATTTGATCTTTGGCGCTCCCGTGCTCGCCGCTCGTGGACGCATACCTTTGCATTCTATTCTGCCCGCGCCCAGGCAGTCCCGGCCATGCCGTGGGGCTGTGATGGACAAAGTTACTCGCAGGTGACGTCCTATCTGAGCCAGGTCTTTCCCTGGAGCCACACGGGGCAGGACGGAGGAGCTGCTTCCTCCGCACACAGAGCCAGGACGAAACAAGGACAAAGAGGAGAGATGAGATGGTCCCCAGAAGCCCCGTCCCTGCCTGTCCTCAGTGAAGCTGGCTGGGTTGATGGTGTAAGAGGGACAGCCGCGGGGACCCCAGCTGCCTGCCGTCATCACCGTTGAGGACAGCAGGCTGAGGGGGACGTGGGTGAGGACTACAGGGGTCATCCCTAGGCTTCCTGGGGGCCAAGGAGAGCTCCAGATGTCCAGGCCGGACCAAGGTCTACTTCTTCCTTATCACGCTGTACTCGTGCTCCTGCTCCCCGGGCCTCTGGGCAGGAATCCCGTGGGCATTAGAGTCCCGGGTCTGTCGGTCAAACGCCACCGAGGTGTAGTGAAGTTCTTCCCTGGGGGCAACCTGCAGGGAAGAAGACTCGAGGCTCAGGGAGAGGTGGCGGAAGGATGGACCCCAGCTCAGGGTGGAGGAGGGAGGACACCTGGGGAGGCCACGGCCCCACCCCCTGTCCTGGCCTCTTTCTCCCCCAAGGACTGACTGTGCTCCACGATCCTGCCCACCCACCTGCTCCACCCACCCCTGCAGCCACGCCACGGCACCAAGTCCCCGGGCACCAAGTCCCCGGGCAGCAGAGGCAGGAGGGTCCTTGGTATCCTCAGGGCTGCTCCAGCCCAGTCTATTCTCCAAGGGAGAGAATGAGTCCCCAAGAGGTGTCATGTTGGCTGGCCTCCCCAAGATGCCTCTGTGCTCCTCTCACTGAAATGTCCTGCAATGACGCAGCCGTGGGTCCCTTTCTGAGAACTCAATGCATCTGCAGAGGAGCCCTGGGACACCGGATTGGCCCTATAGCTCTGATTAACTCGCCATGCTGTGGGCACGAGTCCTGACTTATACCAAGGGGGCTGGCAGAGGAGTAAGACTGTGCCCCCAACCCACTGTGGGACCAGGAGTCACCAAGTTAGAAACACAAGGCTACTGCTGTCCCAGGCCCACGTGGCTGTGTGGACATAAGCCATGTGAGGAAGGAGGCAGGTTAGACGATCACAAGGACCTTCAGACCCTTGACCACGAGCCACTAGGGTGCAACCAGACTGTGCCTGCTGCTCAGAGGCCCTGGCTGGGGGTGAAACCAGGAGCCCGGGGCCCCAGACCACCCCACTCTCATGCAGACAGCTGGTGGGAGGTTGAAGAGGGGGCGTGGCTATCAGGGGACCTGGGAGTGACAGGGATGGATCCCCTAGTGTGGGATCAGAAGCCCAGGGGGTGGTGCCAGGCTGGAAATACCCCGGAGAACTGGGCCACGTCTCCTGGGCAGACCAGCCACTGTGTCACCTGCCACCCTGACACTGGCCCTCCGTGGCATCACATAGCATGTCTGAGAAAGGTCCAGTTGGCTCACAGGCCTGGGGGGGCCTTGGTGGCCTCCCCAGCCAGGTCCCTGCCTGATGCTCCAATCTCTCCCACTTCTCTCCACGCGTGGGCCCCCGCCTTGGCCTGCACCACTGACCGGCGGGTCACCACCCCGGGAGGCAGCCGGTTCCATCACTCCACTTTAAGGAGGCTGTGCCTAAGGGCTGACCCACGGCAGATCATGGACAAAAACCTGGAAAGCAGAGTTGATACTGAAGAGCTGCTGAGACCCAAACAGTGAGAAATCACAGGCTTTAACCCTGAGCATATGATATGCAGTAGGTGCTTAATAAATGCTCTACTTCATGGACTATCGGGGCCATATTCACTGACCACCCCTATAGCCCTTCCCCACCCCAGCCCCCAGCCACAGTGACACTTGCCCATCTAAGGACCTCTGCTCTGACAAAATCTACACTTGCTCATCTTCCAGGTGGCCTGTCCTGGAGAGGCACAAGGTCACCAAGCGGGCCCCTCCCTTCCCTCTCTGCGCCCCCATCCCCAGGGTGCCCTGGCATAGCCCAGGGGCCACATGCCCGGGAGCCAGGCTCTGGCACTTACCAAGGTGCTGTATTCCACCTCCACCTGCCGTGGGGGCACTGGCTCCTCCCGCAGGGGCCTCGTCAGCAGCTCCAGGTTCACATAGTGCTGCTCGCCTTGCTCGGCAGCCTGCGGTGGGCGGGAGGTGCCGGGCGGGTGTCCACGGAGCCCCACAGCCTCTGAGCCTGCCTGTCTGCGTGCCGCTACCCTCCCTCTGTGCTCTGGGCGCTCAGCCCCGACCTCCCTGCCCTGCCTCCACGCCATCCTCCCCGTCTGCTCTGGGCAGCTTTTGAATGCTCCCCAGGTCTGTCTAGCTGGAAGGACCGTTCCCTCATTCCACCATTCCACTCTCCCTGGGTGGAGGGGACAGGCTGGCCAGAGCTTGGGACGAGACCTGGTGACCAGATCTCCCAGGCATCGTTCCTCCTGCTCTGAGCGAGCATCCTAGTCTATCCATCCACCATCCACCCAGCACCTCCACTGGCCAGTGGGACTGTCCAAGCCCCCAACACCCTCTGTCCCCCCACCCTCCTCCAGCCACCTAACACACTCCTGCTGTAGTTCCCTTACCTGCCTGGGGCCCTGGGACAGCTGCAGAGGCTCACCTGCTAGAGACAGGAGGAGAGCAAGGAGGTTAAAAATCCCAGACCCAGGGCAGGGACAGGGAGCCTATGACCCATCTGGAAATAGGTCTTTCCCAAGGGATCCCAGCCCTGGGGACCTATTACTTCCTGGCTGAAGCACGGTGGCAGCTTAACGGTTGTTGAGCCAGTGAATTAGTGAATGAATAAATGGATGAACGAGTGCATGAATGAACGAGTGAATAAACAGCCAAATGGAAAGGTCCCAGCTGGAAGCGAGGAGCCAAACAAAGCTAGTTCTCAAAAGAGTCACTCGAGAAAATGTTCCCAGCTGGGAGAAGACCAGGGAGGAAGGCTGCCACAAAAGGGACATGTGCGCGCCGGGCCCCAGGGCTGCGTCAGACCGTAGGAAGTCACTGGGGAGCTCGGCTCTGCCCCCTGCGCCTAAGGTCTGCCCTCCCAGACAGCCCACCCGCCCACTGCCCCAGACACCGTGGGGAAGGAGGCCTGCCAGCCCCTCGGGATCGGAGCTCAGGCTCGAGCAGCGTCTGCTCGGCAAGTGTCCTGCTCTGAGCACAGCCCTGTGTGCCCAGACCCTCCCAGCCCGCGAGCCAGGGCCAGGTGGGCAGTGGGTAAGGCACACACAGCCAGATGTCCTTGGCCTAGGGCTAGGCCCGCAGCCAGGCAACCCCAGAGCCCACTGCCCCTGAGACACTGCCCGCCCCTTAGGGAACCCCCAGAGTCAAAGGGGAGCAGCCCACAACTGGGAGACAGACACCAGACCACGTGTCTTGCTGAGCCGTCAGCTGACTTGGAACATGCAGCCTGGTGCCCTGGGCTGTGAACCACCTGCTTCCGCACGCTGTGTGCAGGGCCTACGTCACCCTCTCTCCCCTCACCTTGGACAGGTGTCCCCATGGCAAGGTGGAACAGGGCTGGAGGGGAACGGACAGGAGTCCAGTGCCGGGAAAGGGAGGTGGCGCTGAGGTTTGGGGACAGCCAGGTGCGTGGGAAGCTCCCAGAAGGCAGGACCCAGTCTGCCCTGGTCACATCGGCGTCCCCAGGGCCAGCACAGGCCTGGCACACTGTAGGCACTCAGGATAGCTTTGTGTGTGAAGGAATGAATGACAAGAGTGGCCCCGGGGAGTGGGTGTGATGAAGCAGGTGGCAGGCCTGAGGGGCAGCCCCACCTGCCTTTGCGCGTGTGGTGGGGAGGGGCAGGGTCACGGTGCTTGCACGGAAAGCTTCCTCCTGTCACCGAGGACGTTCAAAGCACAATCCGCCCGCACACCGATAAACTCCGCAGTCTGGGCCTCGTGGACCGTTTAATAGCAGGGAAAACGTGCACTACGTTAAGTGCAAAAATATAGGTGTAGAAGAGAATTCATGGCGAGATGCAAATTTGTTAAGAGCTCATGAGTGCACAGAGAGGCTTAGGAAAAAGGCCGGCAGGACACACAGCTCACGGTCAGTGGCCAGTTTCTCTGGATGGTGGGGTTTTTAGCACTGTCAGTAACGGGGAATTTATTTCCTTCTTTGTGCTTTTACTCATTTTTCAAATTTTCTACGGCAGGTATAACTCCCTTTTTTAAAAGGGGAAGAAGCTCTTGAGCAGTGGGAGCCTTTCGGGGTGAAAGCTGTCCCGGCTGGGGAACCCCATGGGGCCAGGGGTGTCCCTGGGGGCCTGAAGTTGGGAGCACATGGGAAGGGGGACGCGGTCCTTTCCACCCACCCTGCACAGATGTGCTGGGGCTGGGGCTGCGGCCCCGGGCAGGGGCTGGGGGGGAGCGGGGGGGGGGGAGGAAGTGCCCCCCAGCACACACCAGCTTGTCCTGAGCCGTGGGGCAGAGCCGCCCCATCTCTCCCTGCCCCAATCTCATCTCAGCCTTGAGAGGCTTCGGTGACTGGGGACCCGGGTTCCCCTGAATCCTCCGCCCCGTGGAACCGAGCTCTTGGAACGGGGAGGAAACTTAGGGCTCACACTTCATCTCGGGCAGAAATCTGCTTTCCTGGAGGGGACCGGGGCCCTCCAGCCAGTGACAAGAAGGCCACCCCCCCATGCGTTGTTCTGTCCTTTTACTTATTCAGTCTGCTCATCAGGGATCTACGTCCTGAGTGCCAAGAGGACGAGTCCTCTCTTTTCATCCGAGCCCAGAGGAGGGCGGCCGGCCCAGATGATGCCTGGAGCTCCCTGGGGTGCCCATTGGGCTGAGACATTAAAAAACACACTGATTCGAAAAATGTCAACGGTGTGCCTTCTCGAGCCCCAGTCTCTGACCTGAAGGAGCACATGGGCCGGTGGGAAGGAAGGCAAGGAACAAGGAGGTGGCGATCTAGTTCCAAAAGGGCTATAACAGCAGAGGTACAGGGTACACGCAGGAGGGGCCCTGAGCCATTTTCTGAGGACAAGGAAAAGGTCCCAGAGGAAAGGAAGGACACCCAAGGACAGCCTTTGGGGTCTGGCAGGAACAAGCCAGGGAGTGAGGGCAGGGGAAACTCCAGGCGCCCAGAGCAAACCCAGGAGAGACTGAGGTTGTGGCTCTTGCCAAGGGACAAGATGCTGCAAGAAGCTGCCTTCTGGGGTGCAAGGACAGGGCGAGAGAGGTGGGCAGGGACAGTCGTGGGGGCTTTGACTGTCCCATAGGGGCCTGGAGTTCGGAGGGTGAGGGAGGCCGTGCATGGGTTTTAGACAGAACAGAACCGCTGCTTCACGGGGCAGCCGTGCCCGGGCGCCTGCAGCAGGAGAGCCTCCCTCTGGGGAGCCACCTGCCACGGCCTGTAACTGCCACTCCCAGGGACACCTCTTCCGGCATATGTGCTCTGAGGGTGTGCACACAGCGTCCATTCTGGGGAACGAGGAGGGAGCCTTGCAGAGGAGAGGGGTCGGGCCTGCCCACCCAGGGTGGGGCAGAGGGGTTCGGGGAGCTCGCTCACCTCTGACCTGCTTCTGAAACATCCTCCAGGACAGCAGCGAGGTCCCCACCAGCAGCAGCAGCAGAAATGCCAACAAGGAGAGCAGCAGCGGGAGCCTGGGGGAGGAGAAGGTGCAGGATGGGGAGAGGGGCGTGGGCGGCCTCGCCTTCCCTATATTTTTAAATAGATCTGGTCAAATTTTAAAAAATAGACAGTATAAAGCCTCTTTTCAACCCCCCCCCCCAATCTATGCATTCCCCGGCTTCCCCTACAAACATGCATGCGGGTACTGAAGAATCTTCCAGAAGTTCTTCATGTGCATACAAACAAAAGTGCACATTATTCCCCTTCCGTTTCTGCACAAAGGAGGCATAGAGCAAACGCTGTCCTGCTTTTACTTAACGATACGGCTTGGAGGTCTTTCCACGTCGGTAGGTAAAGACGCCCCCGCTCTTCTCCGCAGCTGCGCGGTACTCCCCTGCACGGATCGCCGATGGTTACCCGCTCTGAGCAAGCGTCTCCCCCGGTCGTTTGCAATGACGAACGCGGCTGCAATGAATCGCCTCGCAGCTCGGCAGTTTCCCGCTCGGACAAGCAGCAGCGGATCAACTGCGACGCTGACACTACCGCTGGCTTCAGGCCGCTCGTGGAAGAAGGGACCTTCTTTCACGCCCAAGCTTGCATTTGTAATGTTCTCATGCTTTTCTTAGACACCCCCCCCAAATGACACAAGCTTCGGGCCCCACAGAACCCATATCTGCCACCCGTGTGTATCTATCTATAGGGTCAACTTCTGGATTAGGCATGTTTGGGGTCTGAATTTTGCCATGTGTGATATTAAGAGTGTGGCCCTAGGTTGGCAGAAGCCTCTAGAAGGGCCTTGGGGGTGTCGTATTTAAAGAATATGGGCCGGGCGCGGTGGCTCACGCCTGTAATCCTAGCACTCTGGGAGGCCGAGGCGGGCGGATTGCTCGAGGTCAGGAGTTCAAAACCAACCTGAGCAAGAGCGAGACCCCAACTCTACTATAAATAGAAAGAAATTAATTGGCCAACTAATATATATATATATATAAAGTTAGCCGGGCATGGTGGTCCATGCCTGTAGTCCCAGCTACTTGGGAGGCTGAGGCAGGAGGATCGCTTGAGCCCAGGAGTTTGGGGTTGCTGTGAGCTAGGCTGATGCCACGGCACTCACTCTAGCCTGGGCAAGAAAGTGAGACTCTGTCTCAGAAAAATAAATAAATAAATAAATAATAAAGAATATGGTCAGCCTCCGTCCCTGGTTCCTGGGAGGGAGGCTCCACGTCCTTGGGGTTTCCCACATAATGAGAGTGTCTTTGTTATTCATGGGCGACACCTGAATTTCGCTGAGAGGTGACATAGAGTGTGGGCCTGGTCACCAGAAGAACCAGCCATGTCCGTAGAGATTCGGGGCTCTGAGCCAGCCCAACCTCTAGGAGAGGGGGAGGGAAGGGAGACTGAGTTCAACCGCGTGGCCAAGATGTGTCAGTCATGCCTACACAAAGAAACCCCAGTAGGCACCGTAGCTTGGAGGAGCTTCCCGGTTGATAAACACACCCATGTCCTGGGGGTGATGCTCCGGGATTCCACCCGGAGAGGGCCCGGAAGCTGTCTGGGACCCTCTCGGAACTCCCTCTATGTGCCTCTCCATCTGTGTCCTAATCTCTGTCCTGTACGATAAGACCGTAATCGTAGGTATAGTCCTTGCCAGAGTCCTGAGTCTAGCAAATGATTGGACCCAAGAGTGTCCTGGGAACCCCCAAATCTGTAGCCAGTTGGTCAGGAGTGTGGTGGCCTGGGGGTCCCCAAAGCTTGGCTGGTGTCTGAATGAGGATGGTGTCGCGGAGGTTGGAGCCCTTAACCTGTGGTGTCCGTGCTAACCCCAGGTGGCAGGCACCAGAATTAATTGCAGTGCCCCAGCAGGCGCTAGAATAGGAGTCTGTGAATCCCAGAAATGGCTTGTAACCGCATGCGTTTTTCTAGAGAGAGAGTCTATAGATGTTGCCAGATTCTCTGTGGGGTTGGTGACCCCCCAAAAAGGTTAAGAACCACTTTTCAGAGGAGAGAACACAAGCCTTTGAATTGAAGCCTAGCCCTGCCTCTGGCAGCCCCCTGACCCAGCAAGTGGCTTGACCTCTCTGAGCCTCAGTTTACTCATCTGTAAAGTGGGGGTGAAAACGGTACAGGACTGCAGTGGGGAGCAAACGAGGACGTCCGTGTGGAGCGTCTGGCACGTGCCTGGTAGGATGCCATCAGCTCTCATAAACCACCGCTCTCCACCCAGCCCCCCAACTTCTCCCCGAGCTGAGCCTTCGCTTAAAGCCGCGGGCAGGTCCAGCGCGGCCTCAGCAATCCACGCTGGGACTGTGGCTTCCAACCCCGGCCTGGGCAAAGGGAGCCTGGGGCCCCAGCCGGCAGGGGTGTGGCTCGCACCTCCGATGGGACCACATGGCCAGGTACCTGCCCCGGTCTCCCCCTGAGGACTAGACCCCTCTCATGTCACAAGGACCTTACCGTGGGCTCGAGCTCTTCTGGGGTTCGTCCTGGATGCTGGCACCGCCGGTGGCACTCACTGCAGACAGGGCCGTGGACGGCACCGCTGGGACTTCGGTCGTGACCGTGGAGGTCCTGGCTGTGGTGATAGTCATAGGCACCACCGGCGTGGATGCTGGGGGCAAAACCACAGATCAGACCCAGGGATCTCACCTCGGACTCCCCCACCAACCGCCAATGCCTTTTGGGTTTGATTTCACCCAGAATGCTCACTCAGGAAGGAGGGCCCTGAGCCAAAGTGTCTCTAGGACTATCTCGGGCCAAGTGAGCATTTCCCAACGGGACACAGGTCCTGCCCTCAACATCCTGATTCCATCCTGTGGGTGAGGGTCAGGGCTCTCCCGGAGCCCCTAAGTCCCCTCCCCAAGCCCAGTCTTGTCCCCCTCTGGCACAGGTGGTCTCCTCTCCCTCTTGGGCTCTCTCGGCCTCCCTGTCTCACCTACAAGCATCCGTAAAGACTGGGCAGAGATGCCAGCTACTTCAGGGTGCCTCCCTGGCTGTCTCCCTGTCCCTGTCCCCCCCCCCGTCTCTCACTTGCACATGCACACACACGTGTGCACACACGCGTGTCCCCGTCTCTGACCTGACTCCTGCCCCAGCTGTTCCAACCCAAGCCTGTCTGGGCAGCCCTGGTGCTGACCGAAGGCGGGGCTCACCTGGGGACACGGACACCTCAAACTCGGAGGTGAGATCAAACAGCTGCCTGTTGACCCCACACCAGTATGTGCCTGTGTCCTCCACCCTGAGGCTCCTCATGGTCACCGTGAAGGTCAGGTTTGCAGGGTGGTCTGTGATGGACACTCGGCTTGTCCTTGCTTCTCTCTCTGAGTCTTTTGTCTCCACGATCTTGTCACATAGTACAACAAAGCGTCTTTTGCACCAGTATTTCTTTGCAGTGCTGTACTCCTCCTCATACCGACACTGCACGCTCAGCGACCCCCCCACGGAGCCCGTCACGGTCGTGGAGCCACCCAGAGAGAAACAGCCTGGAAAACACAAGGGGGGCCTGGCACTTCAGGGTGGCCCCCTGGGAGAGCCACCTCCTCCAGGGGTTCCCCACTCCGCATCAGCACCCCCAGGCCTGAGCCCCCCACTCCTTCCCTTCTCATCGACCCCCAGCCAGGTCACAGCTTGGGATCGCCCTCTCTGCTCTGCCACCCCCAAGGTTTTGATCACAGCAGCCCCTCCCTTCAAACCCCAACTCCCCCGGCCGCCAACCGGGGCCCACACCTGCCAGGACCGTAAGAACTCACCCCTAAGCACCTGCTGTCCCGGGAGGGCCACCTGGCCCTGCACATCTCAGGACGTGGAGGAGCAGCCCACGTACCGACCTGGGCAGCTCTAGGGCTGCCAAACCGTTTTGACAAGAATTCTGGACACACCTGATAAAGTGTGTGGGTCAAAACAGAGTCACAAACGCAGAAGTTTCTCTGATGACAACGTTCATTTCATGCTGTGTCACACCTCAGTTTGCCCAGCTCTTGTAGATTTAATTTTCAAGGAAGCTTTATTTATTTATTTATTTTGGAGAGGCAGGGTCATGCTGTGTTGCCCAGGCTGGTCTTCTTGAACTCCTGGCCTCAAATTATCCTCCTGCCTCAGCCTCCCCCGGAGTGTGGGATTACTGGCGTGAGCCACTGTGCCCAGCCAGGAAGCTCATTCTTTGTTTCCAAGATTTATGTCTGCCATTTCCCAAATAATTCTCAGACGCAACGATGGGAGAATAAGGTGATGGCGCGAAGCTAATGTCGGCCACCAAGCAGAGGACACCCGGCCCTGTCCCGGGCGGACAGGTGCACGCCCGCTGGGCAGTAGTGGGGGAGCTCCTCACCACCCGTGCGTGATTCTGTGATCCGGCTGCATTGGCGGGGAGGGCGGGGCAGGGTGGGCGAGGCTTGCTCTCTTTTCCTAGCATTAGAGCTCTTCAATTTTACTTACATTTTCAAATTCTTAAATCCCCTTTGGGGACCACTTTGGGACTTTGGGACCACTCAAATGCAAGCCCTAGGCAGGTAGGGGTCTCCTTCTTGTACCTTCAATGTCTCCAGGTGCTGGAGACTAATACTTTCATGGCAGCCCCTCCCCAAGCCCATCGGCTCTGCACTCTCAGCCCACAGCTGCCCAGAGATGACCACAAGCTCCTCAGTGCCTCTCAGAACCGCCTCTCCTGGCCTGGATGTACAGGTCCTGTGCAGAGAAGGCCTTTCTAAGCTCAGCACAGGTGTGACGTTTACTGAGAGGCCCAGGAGCGATTGCCAAGGCAAAGCAGAAAGGGCCTCAGAAGAATCTGCATTTAAGTCTTGGCTCTATTACTCATCGGCTGTGTGTTCTGGGGTAAGTTGCTCAACCTCTCTGAGCTTCAGATGCCTCATCTGTAAAGTGGGGATAATTCTTCCTACCTCACAAGGCATTTGAGAACATTAAATGAGATCATACGTGGAAAATGCTGGGCAAATAATATTAGGTCGAATCACATGAAATTGCTGATATTCAACTTTTTGACCAAGACATCAGTATTTCAAATGACTCGAGCCAATAAAAATACTTAGATAACCCTCTATCTAACCCAGGTAAGAAATGGTAAGAGAAAATAAGCACAGATACAGACAGAATGAAAAGCTTCAAGATGGCACTTTGCAGAAACTCCCTACTAATAAATGCGTAAATTTGGATTTTCTAGAAAAATGCAAATTACTAAAATTAATGCATACTAAATGCTTAATAAATAAATGTCAGTTCCCAGACCTCCGTTACCCAAGTCACTGCTCCTGGTCCCCATCCCGACTCTATTCCCAGCCTCTCTCTCCTTGGCTGTGAGGTGTCCTCTTTCTTGTCTGGGTCTAGCCTCCCTTCCTGATCTGGGTGACCCCAGCACCCCTGCCCACAGCACCCAACCTGGCCTTTCGTCTGTCTCCAGCGTCCGGCTTCCCTTTGGACTTGGTGTCTGTCTGTCTCTCTCTCCTGATTCACTTGTCTCCTCTGCAATTTTGGGGTGAAAAATTGTCACCCAGTCCCCAAGAGCTCTGCCCCACCTGTGACGGTGTCATTATAATTTAGAGACTGAACAGCATCATTTCCCCACTTCTCTGGGACGGTCACACTTACTTACAATGCGCCTGGTCCCGCTTTTCTTGCACCCCCAACCCTGTGGGCAGAGACACAGCAGAGTGGAGACCGCTGTGGGGCCGGGGACCTCCCTGTGTCCAGAACTGCTCTTCCAGATTGTGCCTCTGTCATCTCAATGTTTTCCTTAACCCGGAGTCTCGTCCCGCTAAATCCCAGATAAGTGAGTGAAGCATCCAACTCACGAAGCCAGGAGAGGAGCACAGGCCCACGCACCAAACACAGAGAGAACACAGTAAGCTTTTGGAAAAATTAAACAGAAATCGGTGAGTTAGGAAACAGAAAAGCAGTGGAATTAGTGTACACATTGAAAACCTGATTTTTCTTTTGGGAAGGGTGAACAATAGCACAGACTAGGGAGCCACCAAATCAAGAAAAAAGAAGATACAGTTGCAATTTAAAAGAAAAATAGCCAGGTTAATCTGCAGGTCTCTACAGATAAGTCTGCAAACCTGGATGAAACTGACGATGTCCTGGGAAGATACAAATGACTGATACAGACTAAGAATAGCTTCTTTACAAAACAGACCGATGATGATGAGCGGTATAAAGGACTTCTTTCCCTTCCAAAACCTGGTTTCACAAGTTAGTTCTCTCAATTCAAACATTCGCAAAGAGCATAGAAACAGGGGAATCGCCCTAATCCTTTTCACGACGCCAGCATAATACATCAATAACGAAATCTGGCCAAATCTCTTAATATAATTCACCTTCTTAAGAGCTGAAAGGTGAAAAAAAATACTCATCTTGACAGATAATGAAAAAGCGTCTGACACCTGTTGCCATTGTTTTTAAACTTTTGCTTCTGGTCATTGCTTGCTTGCTACGGAAGCTGTCTGGGGAATTATGGGATGAGGTCATTGAAGCATGGGCGACTGGCCCATCAGGCAATAGAAGGCAACCAACCCGCCAATTATTTCAAAAGGCAATAGTGGGCAACCAATCATTTTAAAGGTCAACGCATGATCCACGCGTGATCAACTTGTGCGCAGCTTGTGCACCACAGGGATAAAAGGCATGCCGTTGTTCCAGTCGGGGTCCTTGCCTGCGAGAGTGGCCACTGCGTTGGTGCTCTGGGGCTTGGACCCTGGCTAGCCAGAAAATAAACCTCCTTTTGTGTGATTGCAAAAAAAAAAAAAAAAAAAAAATGCTTGATAAACAGCCATTGGTGGACGCCTTCTTCACACTGCATGGGACAGACTGGCTGCCTTCCCCGGAGTCAGGGACCAGGCAGGGACGATCACTACCTCCTTGGCCACTGGACGTCAGTCTGGCCGTACCAGCCAGCGAGTCGAGGAGGGAAAGAGAAACCTACCAGAAGGGCACCGAGAGCTCTCAGCGCACCCCGATCCCGTGAAAACAGGAGAACACCCTAGAACCCACGGGAACACTGGCGGTGGGGGTGGTCCAGTTCCAAATTCTTACACAACAGGTAAGAGCTTCCCAGAGACAATTAGCAAATAGAGTTGAAGAAAACCTCCCACCATAAGAAAAGCAACCAAAAAGGTTTAAAATCTCCCAGGACAAAGGCTGGGCAGACTGCAGGGGACCTGTCTGAGGACAGCTGCAAACGCTCTTGGGGGCGCAAAAGCCAAGTGGGCGGGAGGAAGCCTTGCCCTGCGGGAGGAAGACTCAGCCCGCGGCTCCCCCTGGAGAATGTCTCCCTCGTCTCTGCCCAGTTTCTCTTCCCTCCCCGCCCTCCCTGCTGCCTTCCCTCCCTCTCTGTCCCATCTCCCCTCCTTGGAGACAACTGGCCCCTGGTCCCCAGGCCCCGCCAGCCACGTACCTGCCTCCACACTCCTCCCTGTTCAGGTCCCAGCCCCGAGCTGCCCTGGCCGATCTGTGTCCGAGACCGACTGCCTGCTCTTCCTCCGTCCTCACCCCGCCCCACACCCTGCACCCGGTGGCTGGCAGGACACCTCCTCCCCAACACCCCTGGCAGCTCAGTGGCGCTCACTGTCTACCCACTCTAAGATCTGCTGCCTCTCGCCCTCCGTCCTGTAAAAATTCACCCGAAAACCTCCCACAAAGCCCTTCCTCCGTGCCCACCCTGTGCCCCACATCCCCTGTGGCTGGTCCAAGGTCCCATGGGTGGAGGGGGCAGAGACCCTCATCCCTTCCCCTCCCAGGGGGCCCGTTCTCTGTCTGTCCATCTTACATGGTGGACAGAGTGCACCCCATTCTGCATCCTACATAGAGCCCAGGCTTGGGTGCCTCACGTGACCCGTCACACCCCCTCCTCCTGTGGACCCTCCCTGGGCAGAGAGCCCCTCACCTGGGACCCAGAGAAGCAGCAGAGCTGAGGGCAGCCACATGGTCCCGTGTCCAGCACAAACACCACCTGCAGCACCACTGGGCCCCCGCTGGACCCGAGACCTCAACCCCCGAAACCTCCCAGGGGAGGATCAGATTCCCAAGGCTGACACTTCTGCTTTTTTTGTTGCCGTGTGGCTTCCTTATTCAGCTTCTTTTGGTTCTATTCCTGGAGCTGGTCAGAAAATGGAGGCGGCTTGGGGACGCCTGGCTGAGATGCCCCTGGAAACTCGGTACCACCTTGCTAAGCCGGGTTGAGCCTGCAGGTTCCGTGGCCATTTCCAGCAATGAGACCTGTCCCCCTGTGGCCCCAGCAGCTCACAGGCCTCTGTCCACCCCTCTTCCCTAGTGTGCAGGACTGCAGGGCCAGGGCCCCTTCTAGACAGAGGCTCCATGACCCTCCCCCACTTCCTTGTGCTCAGGATGGGTGGCGCTGCGGGGAGGGGCAAGCTCAGCCTGCTTCTCAAGCCCTGGGCGGCGCCCACAATGCGGCCATCCCAGGAAGTCCCTCCCATGAGGCCTCAGCTCTAGGCCTGGACCCCCAAGTTGGCACAATGGTCCCAGAGTCCCTGAATGGTTCCTGGCCTTGGAAATGTGTCTTCAACTTGACCCAGAGGTCCTCAGGTTGTGAACTTCCTTCCTGTGTGGCCCCCATTGGACCCAGTTCAGGCTAAGCCCAGAGCAGGAACACAGGGAGACTGCAGGGCCCCTTTCTTCCCTGGTCCACATGGAGGTGAGAAGATAAACATAAACTCACAAATGCATGCCTTGGGAAAAGGGCCCCCAGCTTGCACAGAATGGCCACGTGAGCACAGGACACTCTGACCCTCGTGTGCAATGTGCCACTTGGGAGCTTGCAGTCATTAAACCCAGAGCGTCCACCGCAGGGAGCCCCGCACTAGCCGTGGGGTCCCAGGAATGCCCTTCCTGGCTGCTGCTTTCGGGATTTTCATTTGCCTCCTTCTTTCTGGCCACAGGAGCACCTTGCTCAGGAGAGTCTAGGAAGCCAAGGGGACTCGCTGGTTCTACTGCTGGAAGATTCAAGGACAGAGCCTGGCAGACACTGGAGGAATTTCTATGATGATGCAGTCATAGATTATCTAAAGCTCATTAAGATCCAAGACACTTTGGATCTTTTTTTTTTTTTTTTTTTTTTTGAGACAGAGTCTGGCTCTGTTGCCTGGGCTAGAGTGCCATAGCGTCAGCCTAGCTCACAGCAACCTCAAACTCCTGGGCTCAAGCGATCCTCCTGCCTCAGCCTCCCGAGTAGCTAGGACTACAGGCATGTGCCACCATGCCCGGCTAATTTTTTCTATATATTTTTAGTTGCCCATATAATTTCTTTCTATTTTCAGTAGAGACAGGGTCTCACTCTTGCTCAGGCTGGTCTTGAACTCCTGACCTCAAGCAATCCTCCTGCCTTGGCCTCCCAGAGTGCTAGGATTACAGGCGTGAGCCACTGTGCCTGGCCTGGATCTTAACACTATTGAGCTGAACATGAAAATGTAGGAGGGGTGTCACATTAGGTGGTTTGTGTGCCTTGATCATGGCAAAGCTTCCCAGAAATTATTTTTCAATTCAACCGTGATCTGAAAGGCCTTGCTGCAGTCTTAGAAGTCCGGGCCAGGTAGGGAAGCAGAAGGTTAGGGCACTGCTGTGCTCGTCCACTTAGCACCAAGTGACCTTGAGCAAAGCCTGTGGCTTTTGTCAAATGTCAATAATAATGGCTCATCTGTGGGAATAAATCATATAATGATTATACAAATACTCAAATGCAAGATACTTCTTGGTGTCTTCAGGCCAGCCCTCTTGCATGGGGACACATCTCTACTTTTAATGAAAGGCATTAGGAAAACTGGATTCAATAGGAAGACATGTGCATTGCAAATACTTTGTTCCTTAGGAACAAAGAGAAACACCCAACCTGTCGCAAAGGGGAAGGGGTCAGGGGGCCTGGTCCCCACCACACCCATCCTACTCACCCCACCCTGGCCACAAACTGGAAAGAAAAGACAAAATGATGCAAAATGACCACATGACATCAGAGAATTAAGGAAGTGGCATGTTCTGCTGCTTCCCGACAGCCATCCCTGGACGTGATGGGGAGTTAAGTGAGTTGAGGGCCCTAGGGCTTAGCCCCTTCCCTGGGGGGTCCTGCAGTAGCCACGAAACCCGTGATCCAGTGTGGGGCCTCACTCCAGTGCAGACGCACGTGCTCAGAGCCCAGTGAAGGGCGTTGCTGGTGGCGTGGGGGTGGCGGCTTCAGCAGCATCGAGTCCTGCCAACTGCAGGGTCCCCAGAAAAGACTTGAGGAGCGGATGAGCTGTGAGGCCTCCCAGCAGCACAGTCTCAGAGCCACCCTCCCACTGGGGCAGTCAGCGGCTCCCCATCCACTCTGCCTCTTCCTCCCCTGAGCTCGAAGCCGGCCCAGGGAGGGCCTTGACCCACGGGTGCCACTCCAGTGTGGTCCAGAGGCTGGGCCCCCCCAGCCGAGCAGCAGGAGGCCAGGCTGTGCAACCCCAGTGGGAACAAGACCGATCTGCCGTGTGCTTCTGCTGTGGTTGGGTGCACACACCCCGAGACTGCCCACGCCCTACCCTCCCGCTCCCATCTCTGGGGAAGCTCCTCCAGCCAGGGGCTGAGGCAGGCTGAGCCACCCGTGCTCCAGCGGGTCCCACGGCCCCAGGACCACAGAGGCCCCGGCTGGTCATGCTGGCTCGTAACCTGGTTGGCCCCAGGTGTGCCGTGGCCAAGATGGAGAAGAAGAGGAAGCTGCAGGCAGACGTGTGGAGGTCGCAGCCAGAGGCCTGGGAGCCCTCAGCGTCCTGCGATGCTTGCTGCCCACAAAGCCCCTGCTCCACGCAGGCCCTGTCCACAGTCACAGGCACCTGGGCCTGGAGGTAATTTCTCCACCTCGGGGAGGGGAGCCTGGACTGGGGCCTGGTCCCACACGCTGGGGCACCCTGAGCACTGAAGGTCTGTGTACTTCACTTAAGTTCAGCTAAAGCTCAACCCAAACTAGGTTCAAGCAGAGGCCAGTGGTCTGCACCCCTGGGATCAGCGCAGCGTGACTCCACGCCCATTCCCGGGGGACACAGAGATGGTGGTGGCGATGGGGCCGCCTCGGCCCGCATGTCCCCCCGCCCCCCCCCCCGTCTCTGCTGCGTCCCATGTAGTTACCAGGGATCCCTCCGCAGAGCAGGGCTGGGGCAGGAGGCAGGCGAGGGCGCTTGGCTCCTGGAAGCCCCTTGACTATGACAATGGGAAGCCCGGGGGGAAGGTCAGAGCCCTGGGCTGCATGGGGGTCCCGCTCAGTGAAACAGGAACACGGCACCAGGGCCTGCCCCGCCGCACCACTGGGAGGCCTAAAATGAGCTCAGAGATGCAAATGCGCTTGCACAACCCCCAGAGATGTTTTAAGATGCTTGTTAGGCTGGGCGAGGTGGCTCTCGCCTGTAACCCTAGCACTCTGGGAGGCTGAGTATGAGGATTGCTTGAGGCCAGGAGTTCCAGACCAGCCCGAGCAAGAGCGAGACCCCGTCTCTACCAAAAAATAAAATTAGCCAGGTGTGATGGCTCCCACCTATAGTCCCAACTACTTGGGAGCCTGAGGCAGGAGGATCGCTAGAGCCCAGGAGTGTGAGGCTGCAGTGAGCTGTGATGACACCATTGTACCTTAGCCCGGGTGACAGAGTGAGACCCTGTCTCAAAAAGAAAAAGAAAAGAAAAAAAGATGCTTTTTGAACTCTCACCACGTACACGTGTGACTATCTACTCCTCGCAACTCAGAGAGACCAGATTCCTTACCCATGAGAGCCTTGTCTATCCGTGCTAAACCCCGTTAGACCCCAGACTCCTGTCCACCGTGCTGTGACTCCCTGGGGTGACTGCAGCTCTCCTTTCTCCTTGTTTTTTCCTATCCCCTCAGCTGTGCAGCCCCCTTAGGCCCCTCCCGGCTCTGACAGGTGTTAGTCCTCCCTACTTCCTGTAAGTGGGAGGGAACGGGCACCAAAGTAGTTAGACACTTCCAGTGGAGGGAATGGGGGTGTCCACCTCTCCAGGGAGTGCAGTGCCCTGTGTAGGTGCCGCTTGTCAACACAGTCCTGGCCTGGCTCCAGTGTGCCCGATGCTTCCCTGCCTGGCTCCACTGCGCCCTAGCCCCAGCACCTTCTGTGCTCCAGCTCCTGACCCCACCGGGCGGCTCCATCCTGGCCCAGCCCTGCCTGTCTGTCCCATGTATGGTTGGCCCCAAGGGGACACGTCATGGCCCTAAAGACTCAGGGTGGCAGGAAGGGGAGTAAACAGGGACTGGTTGGGGTGGAGCTGGGTGGTCAAACGTAGCCCTGGAGCAGGTAGGGGGTGGCGCAGTGCACGAGGGACCCCACAGTCCTGGGACCTAACTCCCAAGGTGGCGGGAACCAGAGGGTACAAATCAGGCAGCCCAGGAGTGCAGGCTGTGGCCGATAGAGGACCCAGGTCAATCACAGTTTCTGTGGCTGGGTCAAAAGAGAGAGAAAACCCAGGTCAAGTCTGGACTGGCCAGCCACAAGCAGCCTGTCACCATCTATTGGTGGCTGCCAGAACTGCTGGCTGTCTTGCACAGGTAACTTTGTTCCTTTCTCTGCAAGCGGGCACGTGGAGAGGCTTCTGTACACTAAATCCGGTGTGTGATCCTTCCAGAACTCCTAGCCGGTGGACCGGGACAGGAGGAAGCCTCCAGCCCCTTGGGAAGAGGAGCTGGGGGCTTTAGGGAGACAGGCTGCCCCCGAGGGGGCTGAGGGGGTGAAAGAGGCGGGCGGAAGTCACAGAGGAGGAGACAGGACAGTGCCCTGCCCTCAGACCAGGAGAGACGGGGGCATCACACCTCGGCCTCTGGGGTCTCTCGCCCCCAATTGGCAGCTGATGAGACCCTGGGGGACTCCCAGTGCCCTGAGGCTGATGTCAGGGTGAGTGGGCCATCGCTCCCCTTCCTGCCTCTACCTGTTCCAGAGAAGGGGAGCTGGGCTGCAGGTGGGGGGTTGGGAACACCTGCCTTGCCTGGGACTGAGAAGGCAAAGACAGGGACACGGGGGCGCACGCCTCCCTGCCCTCTCATCCCAGCAAGGTTAGGTTCTTCACATAGGCGCTGGGGTCAAGGCACAGCACCCCAAGGCTCCCAGTGGGAAGCAACCCCTTTCCGAACATGGGTTTTGGGGAAAGGACTCAAGATCATGACCTTGAATACTGCTGAGGTCTCCAGCACCTAGAGAATTGGAGGGTCAGCTTTTACTGTGGGTGGTTTGGGGGTGAGAATGTATATGGGGATTCAGAGTGTAGTAGAAATAGCAGGGTGCTGGGGGGGTCTGGGGCGGAGCAGAAAGAGACGTAATCTAGACACAGCTTCCCGCTGCCCACGTTGGATTACGGGACGCTGGCAGGGGTCTCGAACCTGAGCCACCTCCCCAGCCTTCTTCCCCCTTTTCCCCACCCAACTGCACCCCGAGATTCTTACTCAATTGCAGGGAACCCTGGCAGGGTACCCAAGGCCTGAGGAAGAGGGAGGAGAAGGGGGTGCTGCAGGGGGAGGAAGGAGGTTTCAGACCCTGGATAGCACTTGGGAGGGGCCGGAGGGAGCCAGCTGGCCATTCTAATTCAAGGAGATACTCTCCGAACCCAGGTGGCCAAAACTCTCCGTGGATGAGGAAGGGGTCCCTGTGGGGAGGACTTGCCCTGACCAGTCCCAGCATCCTCCTGGATCAGGCCCAGAGCATAGGCTCTGAAAATGAATGAATGAATGAAGGGAGGAAGGAAGGAACAAATGCTAAGAGTGATTAAGAGCATGAGACTCTGGGTCTCACCGCCCAGCTTTGAATCCCAGCCCTGAC